TCATTTGCATTGAAACCTTGGTTCATGGTCTGTTTCTGGAAGAATCTGAACTAAGCCCTGCCTCCTTCTGGGAAAACATGGATTAAAATGTGCACCTTTCTGGAATTGGACAATCGTCACCTATGAGCTAAAGCATGCACTCCATCTGTCCCTGAGTTCAGCATCTGAAAGGATACAGCCCCTGGCTAGAGACTTCTCCCTGGGCCACAGGAACTGATAAAAAGATGGCTCTGATAGGTCCCTGGTTCCCTTCAGTAGAATCTGGTCAGAGAGGTACAAGTCACTCAACATCTACTAGGGGTGTCCACAGTAGATTATTTGAGGACTGTTTTGCTTGTCTATGATGTCAGGCACTGTGAACAGGATTCATGGACCTTTTTGGTTTTGCTTTGTTTTGGTTTTATTTATTTATTTATTTATTTATTTATTTTTGGTCATCAGCTTTTGTTAGTGTTTGTGTATTTTACATGTGACCCAAGACAACTCTTTTTCTTCCAATGTTTGCTAGAGAAGAAAAAATATTGGATACCCCTAAACCTTTAGCTTAGGAACTGGAGGGCGTGAGATGGCTGAGCAGTAGGGAAGTCCTGCCAGTGTTTGCCACAGATGGCAGGACCCCCAGAAAGCGTAAAGTCCCCTTGGCCTCACAGACGCCACCTTACCCCAAGATGGGGTCAGCGGTATAGCATAGCTTTCAGAGCCCTTCAAGAGGAGGCCCGCAGGATAAATAATGCAAAGAAAAGGATCATAAATGCCCACCTTCTCATTGGGAGAAATAAAAAAGGTGTCATGAGAGCAGAAAATGTCTGAGTAAATGCTTTGTGTTGTGAGGTGAGCATTTTAAGTTATTCTTATCTCCTGCTATCAGGGGTTTCCTGCTTAAACTATCCCTTCTCTTTATAAATGATCCTGAAGAGTTTATTGCAACCATTTTTTCTGAGCTGGAGATATGACTTTTGGGGGGTTATTCTCATTTAGGCATGATTTTATCATTGCCAGTAAGCTGAAAAGAGCATGCTCTTAGATAAATATATTCCCAAGAGGAGGAGGATGAAGTTCGTTCAAGAAATAAAAATCAGACCTAGTTTCTTGCTTCTTTCTCCCACCCTTTCCTAAAGGGTAAGGGTCAGAAAAAGGAGACTTACAGGTACTGTTTCTCCTCTCTGCTCTTTTCCCCCAAAGTTCCTGGTCTTGGAGAGAGGCTCAATTCATCGGCAAACAGATTTATCTGACAAAATGACTTACATCTTTCCGACTGCATTGCACATTTGCCTCTGAATGGAAAAGCTGCAGGTGCAGTGGGCCTGGGGGAGTTTCTCGGTGTACCTTGGCACTGTAATCCCAATCGTATGGGAACCATATGTTGACTACACAGTTGAAACCCCCCCAAAAAATATCCTTTACTGTTCCTTGTGATTTCATATGAGGTTGGATAGGATAAGATAAGCAATTTAGGCTGCCAAGTTAAAAAAACGCTTGGAAGGCCCTTCATACATTTTGTTGGTTTGTAGGAAAAGAAGGAATGTGGAGGAAAAAGAAAAAGAAAGAAAAGATGCTGAACTATGAATGAAAAGTCCAGGTTTCTGCTTTTGCTACAGTTGACCTCTCAGGCCCAGCACCTTCATCTGTGATCAGGCTGTTGAGTTTGGTTGACAAGTGGAGCTTCAATAGTCAGATTGGCAGGTGGTGGGATTATAGGCTGACACCCTTGGAGATGTCACCGACTCCCTTTATGGGCCTTGGCTGCATTCGAGTATTCAGAGCCTAAGGAGGTCTTGTTACCCTGGTTGTCCACAACTGGGGAATCTTATGACAGACCTGGAAAGTACACGAGGCCAGCCTTGTGGCTCTTCTTGATTTATCCCGTCATAGGAGGGCCAGGGACAGTGGAAAGTGATTCTAGGAATGAGATCCAGCCTCAAGGAAGCTCCCAAAGCTTTGAGGTCTCAAGTTAGAGGCGAAGGATGACAGAAGGCTTCCAGGTAGGATGAGAGCGCTGGCTGTAAACACAAGACAAAGGTCTTATTGGGTTGAACATATTCAAACCAAGGGTCAGGAATAGCTTGGGCTATAGGGGAAAGCAGGGTCCCAGCTCTCTTCGACCCCTGGTTTTGGGGTGAAGCTGTTGGCTCCTCTTGAGCTGGTCAGGAGGCTGGGTTGTTCACATGCCCCCACATCCAGTGCCGGCATTCTCAGGTGCTGTTGCAAGCCTTAGCAGGAGAGCCCACAATGCTGTCTGCTTCTTGAAATCACTCCTTTCCTTTCCTTTTTTTTTTTTTTTTTTTGGTAGAGACAGAGTTTCATTTTATCACCCTCGGTAGAGTGCCATGGCATCACACAGCTCACAGCAACCTCCAACTCCTGGGCTTAAGCGATTCTCTGGCACCTGCCACAACGCCCAGCTATTATTTTGTTGCAGTTTGGCCGGTGCTTAATTTGAACCCGCCACCCTCGGTATATGGGGCTGGCGCCCTACCCACTGAGCCACAGGTGCCATCCCTCAGTCCTTTCCTTTTTCTTAACTTTTACCTTTTTTCTCACAGGTCAGAGTCCCATTAGTAATGGACCCTGAATCAGTTGAGCTTCCCTTAGCACTCTAGCCAGAGACTGTGGTTATAATATGAAGCAGGGCAGATCCTAAAAACTTCATTATAAGCACCGCTCCACTCCTACCCTGTAATGTCTGGGTTTGGGTCTTAGGTCCTTGTGCTGCTTTTCAGCGACTGCTTCGAGGTTAGCTGTCCTGAGCATAACCGTGCAATTGAGAATGACCCCAGAGTTGAGGAGGAAGTGGGTACTGAAGTCACAATTTAATTTAAACGTTTATTGACTTCAGCTGACGTAGCACCATACAGAGATGTCATGCACTCACACACGCTTTGGGAAGCTGGACAGACTCAGATGTCATGCACAGTGACTCAGGAGTCAACACTCAGTAGCTACGTTCACCTGGACGTTCCATTCATGCCTTCCGTCTGAGGTAGACGCCCTCAGGGTCTACAGATCCTCATTCAGACATTGTGTACACTCAGAAGCAGCATCACTCCCTGAGAGGTTGGCCACATTTGCTCACACATTACCCGCGTGCAGTCTGGGCTGGCAGGTCCTCATTCAGATGTGTAGATAGGGCAGCAGAGCTGCTCCTCACCTCCACTCAGAGATGCTCATCCACAGCACTGCTCACCCCACTCAGTCATCCCGTCTCAGTGTTGCATACACTCACAGCTACCCTTTCCCATTTACATGGCTGACCCTTCCCATGCTCAAGGAAACTCAGGGGAGCGCTTGCCATATTGAGCGTGTCACATTTTCTTGGGGGAAGTCCCTTGCAGCCTGTTAATGAAATAGTCCTGCGTCTGTCTTCTCTCATACTGTGCTTCTTGACTGTCTTTAGATGGGAGGTCTGAAGGGTGGTAGCTGCACCATGTTCCATCTCCCTAAACCACATGCTACTTCACTATGCCCTCTTTAAATGGTTGGTTTGGGGCCCCTGCTGCAACCACCTCATTAATTCACAGAAGTCTCCTGTGGGCACTCTTTGGGCAATTAATCTTCTGTCTTAGACCATAATGGTTCTCAGAGACCTTTGCAATAAAGCTTTTCTAAAAGTAGAGCATTTATTCAAGAGAAGTACAAACTGCAGACATTGGAAGAGATGGGAAAATGTTATTCAATTCTTAAACTTTAGAAGAACTTGTACAAGGAAGAGACGACATGCTGGGTATGCAGTTGATATTTAATAGAGGCTCAGTCTGCTCTAGTCACACACTAGCATCGTTTTACATTCTTTTAAGTTGGGGGGAACAATATGGAGATCCCTAGACGGGAGCCCAGGGATTCATGCTTATCTGATTAGTGCTTCTGCAACCAGTCAGACTGAGTTTCATGCTTGCTTTCAGTTTTAATTCAATCCAATTTGATTCATTTGAACAAGTTTTCATTGATCACTTGTTGGGTGGCAGGCATTTTGCTGGGCAGTGTGTATGTAAGGAGGCTAAAGCAGAGATAACTAAGCCACAACTCCTACTTTTTAAAAGGTCACAATCTAGCCAGTGAGACAGGAGTCTCATCTCATATTATTGGAGAGCCAAGAAGAGAGCAATTAGGGAGCTTAGCTAGCAAAGGAGCCTGGGTGGATCCGCACAGGCTTCCCGGAGGAGGGTGAGGATAAGCTCAGCGTTTAGGGAAAGACATCCACAGACAGGTGGCCAGGCTGGGAAGACATTGCAGGCAGAGGAAGCATGAGATAGGGATGGCATGGGGTGAGATCCAAAAGATGTTTGTGCAATAGCTTGAGGTCTGGAGTAGTTGGAATTAAGGGAATGTCATGAGAAGACCTTTTGAACAGAAGACCGAGAACCAGGCACAGTTTCAAATGCCAGGACGAGGGTTTAGATTATATAATTTGGACAGCAGAGCGTCTATGAAACTGAAGAGGGACAGGGCTATATGATTAGGAAGCTCAGTGGGTTGATTTAACTGATCAAATAAATTAGAGGTAAGGAAACCAGTCGAGCCCAGGTAAGAGGTGGGAAAGTGCCCAACTTAGATATTATCAGTGCCAGGGGAAGAGGGAGGTGATTCAGATAGAACACTGCAGAAGCCAGATCAACAGGGTTTGTTAATTAGAGGTGAAGAGCGAGAACCGAGGCATTAGGAACTGAGAATGAGCCCTCGATTTGGGATCTGGCCACTCGACAGAAGGCAACTGCCATTCGTTCAGAAAGAGAAGTAGGAGGAGCAGACGGGTTTGTAGGGATTGGGGCTGAGTTGAGGTTGGGACACGTCCAGTATGAACTGGCTTTGAGACATCTAAATGGAGACGGAGTTTGACGGAGCAGAGGGTGTGAAAATCTGAAGCTCAGGAGGGAAGTTCAGGTGCAGATGGACGTCATGAAGGTGTTTCAGTATAGGTGAGGCTGGCTTGCCACCAGGAGAATGAGCGAGCTCGTTCTTCCAAAGAGTTGCTCATCCATTTGCCTCTCCTCTCTCCCGTCCAGTGTTTATCAGCTGGTTGTCAAGGAGGAACGACTTCAGAAGTCACGGAGGGCCGCCGACATTATCGAGTGCTTTTCGGTGCCCGTGAGCTATCGGAACGCCTCCAGCCTCGATTCTCTACACTACTTTGCCGCTGAGCTGAAGCCTGCCAACCTGCCTGTCACCCAGCCGTTCACAGTGGGTGACAACAAGACATACAATGGCTACTGGAACCCTCCTCTCTCTCCCCTGAAAAGCTACAGCATCTATTTCCAGGCACTCAGCAAAGCCAATGGAGTAAGTATGGCCACGTGGGGGCCAGTTCTTGCTGTCGAGTCCTCCCATTCTCACATGATGGGGCAGCGTGGCTCTGGAGCAGAAGGCAGGAAACCGAGGCCCATGGGCCAAATCCTGCCCCGTGCTTGCTTTGTTTAATAGAAGGCTTTTCAAAAGTACAGCTATACCTATTTATTTACCTATTGTCTATAGTTGCACTGATGCTTAATAGTAGAGTTAAGCAGTTGCAGTGGGGCCTGTGTACTCCACAAAGCCTTAAATATTTACTATGGCCCTTGACAGAAAGCTTTGCAGAGTATAGAGAAGGTGTTTACTTGAGAAAATAGCATGGTCTATCTGAGTCCCGATCTCTTTGTATGTAATAGTGATAATACCTCCTGATTTGTTATCTAGGAATGCGCTAAGCACGTTTTGATCGATCCTTGAATATTAGCTCCTTTGCTATTACTGTGAGTCACATTATAAAATGAGTAGAACCTCTGTAAGTTGACCATCCAAGGGACTGAAACAAAGTGGTCAGCATATGGAGGTGGTCCGCATAAGGCACCAGGCCTACATACTGATACAGACTTGTGGTGTATGTCCAGTCTGCGAGGTGGTCAGTGTAAGGAAGTGGTCAACTATGAAGGTTCTACTGTAGTTTTTCTCCAAAGACAAGGTAACTGGTTTTGTGTCAACTAGTTCTTTGGCCAAGTAGTGGTGTCAGACATAACATCAGAAAATCACAGGGCTAGAAAGGATCTTTGATTTCAGACAACACTCTTTCCCCACCAAAACAACAGTCTCAACATGCCAAGCAATATTACATCACAGTTATCCGATATTGGTGCTTATTCTTGAATATCTCCAAAGACAGAGAACACACTTATTTCCGAGGTAATTTGGGGGTAGGGTGGGCTGTGTCTCCAAGAAGGTTTTTTCTTAAATATCGCTTACTGAAGTTTCTACCTGCTGACCATGACTACACTCTTAGGCGCTGATAGAACCAATGCCATCAGCTTCTTAGCTGGTGTTCTTTCAGTTATGTAAGGCCTTTGCTCCCACCCACTTCTCCTTTACACAAACACACCCATCTGGTCCTCTTTCCTTCAGGCTTTAGACTCTCTGAGAGCACAAGTTTGTCATTTTCCATCCAGGGTGTTTCTGTGGACGCACTCCAGGTTGCCACATTTCATTTTACATCTAACAAACACTGACAAATGCCAGGCCCTAAGGTTTAGGCTATGTGTCAAATAGTCGGTCCCCACCAAGAGCGTATAAAAAAGCAAGGGGGTTTGTCATGTGTTGTGTTATGCGGTGTAGTTGGAGGAGTGAGAAGCTCACAGGAGACAGGAAGGCTGAGACAAAAACAAGATTTGGTGAAGTCTGTGGGGAACAGTCCGTGCAGGCTCTGGGTGGCCAAGACAGAGCGTTCCGTCTGTCTGTGGCAGACAGTGCCTGGTGAGGAACCTGGATGGAGGAGCTAATTAACATTTAGAATGTCCACATACCTATTTAAATTCCACTTTGGTATTTCAGTTCTGCATTTATTACTGGTTCAAGCCACACTCTTTACAGAGTACAAAACTACAAAGAGAGCTTCCCAGACTGCCTTTTACCTGTCCATCTGGTCTCCCCTCTGCATGGAGCCGTCTCGTGTGCTGAGTAGGAAGACGCACAGACCCACAGAAGCATCTGGGGCCCATCTACTTCTCGCTTTTCCGCATCCCACGCTGGCCAGGGTATCGGTCCCGCATAGCTCTCTAGGAAGGTGCGGCTTTTCCTGCTCTTGGCACATATCAAGAGGGGTGACTGGATTTCCACTCTGCAAAGAGGCAAAGAAGCTGTACTTGATTCTTCTCACTGAGATACTCATAAGATCTAGGAATAGAACCCGAGAAATCGGCAGCCATACCCCAGAAGGAATGTCCCCACCCAGAACATGGCCGGCCCTGAGCAGAATGCAGGAGACGCAGAACACACTTAGAGGTTTTATGCCCCAAACATCACATCATTGGCTCCCTCTTTGAGACATGGGGTTTTGCCATGAAGACAAAAAAGAAGCGTCCTATTCTGAAGCTGCCTTGTTTCAGAAGTCGTTCCTACTGCTGCTGCTGAGATGAGCAAAGCCACTTAGTTACTCATGGCTTCCATTCCATAGCAGACATGCTTTCATTTTGGAACTAAGACTCCCAGTAGTGAAACACAGCATAGTGGAACTGGACGGTCCCCTATTCCAAGTGTCTTAGAGGTACAGTTGGCCTCACAGGAGCAGAGAGAGGAAAGCGGTGGGAGCTGGGCACTCAGAGTACTGTATTTTTCTGACTAAGCAAAAACTCCACACCATTTCAAATTACTGTCTTTAGTATTACATTTTACTAAAAAGAGCTGGGGGAAAGGGGTCACAGGAGCAGAGCAGCCAATCTCCGTGTAACAGATCTCTGCCTGGCCCTGGTCAGATTTCTCTCTGTCATCAAGGGCAGTGGACAGTGCCATTAAGCCTGAGCATTATTCAGGAGGAACACCCAAATTCCTTATCAGCCAAGTTGTTGTTCTTGTACAAATATATCAGAGAGACAGTCTTAGTGTCTAGGGGCTCCCATAAGCCCTGCTTCTAATAAATCATTCAGAGAGCAATTGACCAAGCAATGAATCAAAAAGAAGAAATCAAAAATAAAGACATACAGAACAAAGACCCACGGTGAGCATGAAACTAATTAAGCATAGCATTACTGCTAAACAATTGCTCTAAATACATGTATGGTATGAAACAGAAGGTCAATGTAAGAGAAAAAACTTTAAAAGAAAATTCATAATGTAAAAAAGTTAGCGATTGTGATCTGGATCTATAATTTGGCATTTTGTCAACACAAACTGAGAAAGAGTTGGAGGATTGATGACTGTAAATAAAAATCTGCTAATTTTCACATGTTGGACAAGGAAATACATAACTACTGTTTTATTTTTGATACTGAGACTATTGCAAAAGTTACAGTTTTTTTAAACAGAAAGGCAGCCTTCCAATCTACCATTAAAAAGCCAAACACCAACACTCTACAAAGAAAAATGGTGAACATTAAGGAAATGAGTAAACGTGAAAATTGATGACCACATAACACAACAGAAGACAAAAGCACGAGATCTGATGGGGGACAGGGGGACGGGGGAGACAGAGAGCATTGCCTTGCTCCATTATAAAAAGGGAAAAAGTAGCTTGGGTCAAATGAGAAGCAGAATTCCTCAAATCAATATCACTAAAAGATTTAAAACAAAGGATGAAACAAAGTTAATTAAACAGATGAAAGGATGACATTCATGGGCATTGTTTTGCAGGATGGTTGCAGGCCAAGATGGATAATTTATTATCAACCAATTTCATTCCTCTCTATACTACCTATAATTTTTAGACAGGACAGGGTAAGAGAATTCTAGGGTCCAGATATCTTTATTCTCTGGATATTAAAAGGTGGTTTGTCAGCTCAGCAGACTAGCTTTGAATTCAGTCTTTATAATCAGACCTCCTACCCATGAAGCCCTGGTGGCTATGTGACTTTAGGGAAGCTACCGAAAGAATTAGAAATGATTGCTCAACTAAAGAAGCACTTATCAAGCATGTGCTATGTGTAAAAAGAAGGCATTTTTCTTCCTTTGGCATTTACTGCTGGAAATGTAGCAGTACACCAAACAAAATCCCAGCCCCATAGTGTCTGCGTTCTAGTGGGGGAAGACAAAACTATAGACGTGAAATGCTGTGTCAAGTACAGGGACCCTCCATAGCTGACCAGCTCCCTACACTCACCACCTCCTTAAGTTGACCTAATTTTCATCGACCAGACATGCACCACGTGTACGTAACGATACAGCAGGCCTTGTTCCTTATGTTCACCACCTCTGTATGTCGACCAATTTGTCATCGTCCCTGGGGTCGTCACCTTGCAGAGGTTCTGCTATCATTAATATTAAGTTCCACATCAGGGATGTGGAAGTCACTCATTCAATGGAGACTCTTAGTAACATGAGCATAAGACATTTTGTATACTCCATGGTGACCAAAGACTGTGGAATATTCCAGTCCACTATGGAGAGTTCAAGTAGGATGGGTCGCTAGTAGGCATTTGCATGAAATGTGAGTTGTTCACAGGCATTTGATGGGGAATTTTGATCTGGTTAGTAACCTGTCGTTTACCTGCTGACACTTACAGATAACAAAGGGTAGTCTCATTTATCAAAGTATTGTCATTGGTATAGAATTCGTAACACCTATCTTTCTCACAAATCAGGCTATATGGTATCCCTTTGTCTTGGATACAGCTATATGATATATTCTTAGCATCTTAGAGCTGGATGGACTTTGAACTTGTCATCTGGTTTTGACCAAAAGCCAAAAGTGATGTCTCCCATAAAGTGTTCCTGGCAAGACATTATGGTGCTTCAGCTTGGTTACTGCAGGTCTCTGGAGTGAAAGAGAGTTGATTTCTTTGTGGAGCAGATAAAAATATTGGAACTTTGTTCCCTATATAAAGCCAAATTCTGTCTCCTTAACTCTCCTCTCTTGGCCACTTGTATTGATTGGAACAAATCAAATCTTTCTTTCCCATACCAGCCTTTTAGAAAAAATATGACTGTCCCAACTCCCTGCCCCTGGCCACCCAACTCATTTCTCATTAATAGTTACCATGGTGTTACTTATTCTCTTTTCCACACAGCATAATTTATGAACCTCTTTTATCCTATTTATTCCTCTGATTTATTCCTTTTTACACCATGTCCTCCTTCAAAGGGGATGCTCAGAATCTATCCCTGTTCTTGAGATACAGTTAGACCAGGGCTGCTACAATGTAACTGCCCCTCCTACCTTAAACCTTTCCTGTGACCTTATGTCTCAAATACCCCCAAATGTTTTTCTTACTTTGGGACCTTGATGCATGCTGTTTTACCAAAATGTCTGTTTTTTCCATTGTCTTCAGAAGAGTGCCGTCTCTTTACGGCAGACCTCAGTTTCAATGTTATATGCCCTGATC